TTATTAAAAAATTTTTCAGTATCTATGGAGGAAATAATATATTTCCCTTTAAACTTATCAATATAGTAACTACTATTAAGATTTCCAGAGATATTAATCTATTTTCCATGGGAGTGAATTATATTAATAGACTTCCTAATGTCAAACTGTTCCTGCATCTCTGATATAAACTCCACATAGGCATGTGTATTCTTTTCTTCATGTAGTATTTGAGTTTAATTGCTAATACTATATTAGGGTATTTGCATCAATGTTTGTATTTTTTTAAATCAACTTTAGCATAAAAATGTTATACTTTTGTCATTAAAAGAATTTACAAGTTCTCATTTTCTATGCTTTGAACCAACCTGTTTAACTTTGGGAAACCATCTGGTCCTAAGGGTTTGGTAAAATTCCCCCTTTGAAAATATCTGGGCCTGGTCTGTTTTTGGCAGGTTTGTTTGGATTTTTTTTTGTGGAAGTTTTTTGATAACTTTCTCTACTTATCTTGTTAAAGTTGTTCTATTTAAGCTTTATATTTCCTCTTCTAGAGGTTGATTCTAATAATATTTCCCTAAGAAATTATAGCATCTAGGTTTTCAGATTTGAATTTTTTATTTCCTCTGCATTAGCCATTCTTCCTTGTCATTTTCTTATTTTTTATATGTTTTCTTCCTGTATTTACCTTAACTGAATTAGCTAGTGGTTTATTTTGTTAATTTTTCAAAGAACCAGAATTTTTTTGAATTGGCTATTTTTCTGTTTACCTCACTTTCTTTTATCTTCCCTTCCCTTTTATTCTTTTGGTTTATTTTGCTGTTATTTTTCTAGTTGGTTTAGGAATTTAATTCACTTATGTTCTGTCATTTTTATCGATGGAGACGTTAGGCTTTGAAATTTCCATGTTGCTTTACATAGATTTTGATGTATAGTGTTTTCACTATTTTTCATGAATTCTTTATGACTGTAGTTCCCTTTTCATTCTAGAATTATGTAATAGGTTTTAAAATTTTCAGGTAGAAGAGTCTTTTTATTTTTACTTTTGTTTTCAGTATCACTTAGGATAGTTATTACAGCATTAATAGTTCTAATTTATAGAAACTACTGCTTTCTTTGTGCCCAAATATCTTTTTTTTCCTGAAATTTCTATTTGCCTTTGAAGGTATATATTTTAATGAGGGTGATTGTTTATATATACATACATATTTTCTAAATACTTCATTATATACATATTCCAAAAATACTTCTCTCATTGATTGTACAATTAAAATGAACTAAAGTGAAATTTAATTGAAACACACTTAATTGTGAACAAACAAGGCAGACACACTGCCAATGTTGGGTAGATGAACCCCCCTTCTCCCAGTCAGGATCTATGTTGGGGATCTGGTGGCAACTGAGGTTGCCAAGCCTTTTTGGCCCTTAAACACTGGGACATAATCACTGTGATGCTAGAAGTGCCCACTGTGTGGCCCAAAATTATTTGACTGGCTTTAGAAACAACTCTCAAATTGGACAATGGATTGATAATAACTTTGTAGGTGGGTCCTTTGAACCTACACACATCCAGCAGTTTTAACTGATACTTCTGAATGTACTGTGGGGAAGATGTTTTCAGTTTCCATTGGAACACAAGCAGAATACACGTTAGACAGGCAGCATGGATTCAATGTGGCAATTCTACAGGACACCCTCTATTTGGACAGAATGTTTAATTATGAGGTTGGGGCCAGGGAAGCATAGACTCTGACAGGTTGATACTTAGGACACAATTAACCCCTTTTCACTGTCTCCCCAACCCCCACCCCTTCCCATTCCTACCTCTGGGAAATAGAGCTACTGGTGTTGGCAAGTGGCAATAAAGAGTGGGTTTGAGGGGTGTAAGACTCTGGTGCTTCTTTCACTGCCTAATATTCTTGCTGGACCTGAAAGGTTAAAAACCAGTACTACCGATCATGGATATAAAGTGACGACTGCCATAACAGTCTTGGCACGGCTCACATGTCAGGGAGTGAGAGAGATGTCCTAGAATAGTATAGTGTAGAAAAGGAAGAAACTACTGAGCCATGTAGGGATGAATCTGTCTAGATGGTGTTGATGATGAGGACATGGTGAGAACTGGGGAAAGGGGAAGAGTCTGCTTCAGAGACTCATCATACCATCCATATCACTGTACAGAGAGAAGAGCAACCCTGGCAGGGCAGGAACTCCTGGGACCCTAGGAGGTCAGGGGTAGTACAGGACCATTAACCTTTCTTGTATTAATGTGTCTGGAAGGATACACAGGAAGCGGGTGGAGATGCGATGTTTTCACTCCTGTACCTATAGAATCTTGAACCATGTGACTATTTACATATTTAAAAAGCTATTAAAATTTTAAAATAAAAACAACATTGTATCTACACCTGGAATGAAAATTTATAAGTTAATATTCCAGGCCATAAAGCTGGCACTCTGTAGAAAGAACCTAGAACATAAAGACGCATTAAATACAAAAGTTAGACTTCGTTTTAACAATGGTATACATATTAATTTATACAATTTTCTAGTATGAAATGTTTTAGAAATGCATATATACAATAGTGCAAGCTGTTAAATTTATTTTTATTTAATATAACCGATGAAGTTAACAAATATTTTTTAATGTAACAAAAAGTTATATAATTGGTAAGTTTACCATCTACATTTCAAAGAATTTCAACAATTATTTTAGTATAGCCAAAGACTTAACATTTGAATTTTACCCATTTTTGAAATGTAAAATGCACAATTATAACACCCATACTATATTTCTTATAATTTTAAAGTTTCAGCTAAAACATGAGTCTCTGCAGGTAAAAGCAAGAGTTCCCCTACACCTAACACAAATGAAATGTACTACTAATAAAGTGCCATTGGATTAGATAATACTAATTCAACTATTTTATTTTGGAGAGGATGACAAAAGCACATAATAGCACAAAACTAGTCATTTTCCTTTTACTAGTGTAGAACTAGTCATTCGTATTACACTTTGTAACAAGCATGAGTGCTTATAGTAGATATTAACCAGGACAGAGAATTCTTCTCAAGAAAGATCATAACTATGACTTATGAGAAACTGTATCATCATCGCTGAACATAGTTTAGTGTCCAGAGTTTTTAAAAAGTGCAATCTTGAACTAAGATCAACCTAAGTCTACCAATACAAAGAAATAGTTTTAGGGACTTCATGTAAATAAAAGAACCTCTCTTTCAGTTGTAAAATAGGTTTCAACCTGTTCTCAGGAAAGAGGAATAGTGGTGGATGGTCAAGTCTGGCAATAAGTATGCTTCTGGCGGGTGAAAGCCTGATATGCATTGCTATTAGATGTGTCTTTCTCATAAGGAAAATGTGCTAACTAGACGTGACGTGTACAGCACTTTTCAGGCACTTGACTTCCTTGGTAGTTAAATTGATGTTCAGATATTTATTAATGGAAAAACATTAAATTATATAGTGACTCCAAGCCATGCTCCTTCCCACAGAACATCTGTGTTCCGTAAGCTGAACCCAAATGTTCCCTGCTAAAATCAAATAATGATGCCATATACCCAGGTCAGAGAAAAAAATTTAATAAAGTTAACAAATTGAATTTTCTCAATTTTAAGATTTTCCACAATTTTTCCTTAAGCTTTTCTTTTCTACTGCTTGTCTGACTGGTAGGAGAAAAAAAGGCTTGAAAACCCATGAACAAGTATACCTAAACGATATTAGAAAACTTTAAACCATTGATCAGTTTAATATACTATTTAAACTGAAATAGAAACAGAAATAGTATATTATACTATTTACGGAAATATGCCTATAGTTTGCCCTTACCCTTTGTAAGGGCCATATTTACTCGTAGTAAATCTGTTCCTAGTTCATACTATAGAACTCAATATGTAAACATTTTAATGTACCTAAAAGAGCTTTATGAATCTCAATCTGTTGTCCCTAAATATGTTTGAGAACCAGTACATCAATGTCTGGCTCTGAAACTATCTTTGGGGTCCAGGCTAAAGAAATGCTTTCAGATACATCATTAAGAATAGGGTTCTAAGAAAAGACTACCAAATTCTATTCTACAATGAAAAAAATATGGCAAGTTTCCAGTATAGATGTCACTAATGTTCCCATTTTTTTGAATACTTAGTATATAGTTTAAGCATGTTGATATTAAGGATTTTTTATTTGTATGTATTATGATTTGGGAAACTTCTGCAATATACTTTTAGGCAGTCAGCTTTAAAATAATAAAACTTCAACTCTTAGCACAAACAGCCCTGAGAACAATGCATTCAAATTACACCTCAACTAGAAATAATCTAATTGAGAAACTTTAAAGTACAAAAACAAATTCTGGAAAAGTTATAAATTAAAAAAAATTTACCAACATTTGAGGCACTACCAGACTACAGTACTTTTAAGAGTTGGAAGGACTGTGTAAAAAGAACAAACATACAAAGCTGTGTGTGCACGTGCACACACATTGTGCTATAATGAAGAACTGTGTCCCAAAATTTTATAGACTAAACATTTTCTTGTAGCAACTCCTTTTAAAGATATCATGTTCTGGCTGCAGGAGAGTTTTGGTAATTGCTATAAAGCATTGGTACAGAATTTTATATCATCAATGGAAGTGGATTCAAGAGCTTGGTTCACATCAATTTCAAGTGACAGCCCTTGGAAGGGAGCATAAAACAAACATCATAATTATGCTTATGATGCAAATACCAAATCAAAGTAACAACGGTGTGATCTATTTCTGAGGGTATAAAACTTTGTAGCAAATAAGGTGTAACAAAAGTCTTCACAGTAGAAATAAAATGTTCTGGGTAGAAACATATATTCCACATGTTATATAATGTTGTGTATCAGTGATTTTTCAACTGGTGTGCCGCAAGAATTTTTAAAACGTGCAATACTTGACTATTTAGTCAGGGGAACTGACCTCTTTTCCCTTAGATTATCAAATAAAAAGAATGACAATAGCCAACACAATAGCTGTCTGGTACGAATGAATCAAAATTATACCTATTTTTTTTGTCGATTAGCAAAAAAAAATTTTATCAGCATGCCACAGAATTTTAGTAATCAGCTTATGTGTGCCACGAGATGATAAAAGGTTGAAAATCACTGTCGTATATAAATTGGTGAAATGCCTGCAGACAAAAATGGTGTACCACTGTGTAATCTATCAACATGACAGTCTCTACATTCTATACTTGGCAAGTTGTGATATTTACCATTTGCTACAAAAATGTTTAACAAATGCTAGGAATCAGCTTTTAACATTTCTGATGTCAAAAAAGAATGAAGTCACTTCTGTTTTATGTTAAAAAATGTTTCCCTGCTTCTTTTTAATACAGTTTATAAAGCTTTACTAAGTGAAATATTTTGTTCTAGAGAAGTGTATTTACTTATGCAAAAATACACATACAGTCCCATATCTTTAAAATCTATACTTATATGTCAGAAGAGTATTTATACTTTTTATAGTACTTAAAATGAAATATTTATGCATAAATAGCTTTTGGCATTCAAGGTATGAAGATAGGGATGCATTATAATTTACATATGCTTAATTCACAATTGAAAATATATTTATGTGAAGTTTGAGGAGTTAGGAATAACAAGGGCATGCTGATCCAGATTTAATAATAAAATCAAAACACTAGTATGGTTAACTGGGATCATACACATGACCAGCAAGCAGCACAGATTGATAACTTTCTAGAATTCCTGTGGATAATATGCCAACCAGTAGCAAGTGAGATGTACATTATAAACTATTAAAAAACTAGAACATTAATGGAATACTGGTAAGAATGTAGCCTAATTCCTAATTGTGCTTTAGATGGGCAGAAGCTAAATGTTACATTAAAATGATTGAACTACAACCTCAATATTCCTTGTGCTTTAGAATTCTCTTTATATTTTCTTAAAGTATCTTGCTTCTTCTCCAAATAGGTTTGCTGAGGCTAACACAAGATTTAAAAGTATGAGCAATAAGTAACCTAAAACTTTGGGATCGTCTGTTTCTAATGCTGTTTCTAGTCACTGATTAGATTAGCTGCAACATCACATATAGGAATAAAGGTCTTGTGCAAGTCAAGGCATGATGGGAGAGGCCTCACAATCAGTCTTAGAGAATGAAGGTACTGCTCAAATAGTAACTTTTTCCTAAGTTTCACTCCAGTATAATCATTGTTATTGAGTCAAAGGTCCTCACAAACCCTATGACAATATTTAGAATTCTGGAAATAAGGTATATATGACTCAAACAACTAAAGAGAAATGTAGTAAAGTCATCTAAAACACTTTTTAAAATAATTCAGATTTATAGAAATCTTTCCTAGTTATATTTCATATGACAACTGAATTACACATGACAATCAGAAAAAATACATATATGTATTTCTTAAATTAATGATTATCACATAAAGTACCTTTTCTTCCATAATTCACTTTCATTTCACTTTAGAAAAAATGTACATACATTTAACAAATGTTCCAAATCAATTTGAAGTAAGAATTCCAGTTTTTGTCTGACAAATAAATATTTTGATGTTGAAAAGTCTACTTACAAATGGTTGGAAAGAAATGACTACTATAAATAACATTTATCAACCTAATTGATAAAAAGCAGTGCATAGTATCCTATAAAGCAGGTCACTCCTTTAAATACACAGAGGGACAAAGAGGAGGGGGAGAGGAAGGGAGAGAGGGAGAAAAAGTATGAAAGTTATAAGCAAAAGTACATCTCAAAACTTTTCTATTTTATGCTGATTACAAAGGCCTCAAATAAAAACCTGTAGCTTTAACCAACTCATTTTACCACTGTCCCTTGTCCCTTCTTCACAATATGACTTGCTAACAGTTACCCAACCATTTCATGCCTGTCAACCACAAGCAGGTATGAAAATCACCATATCTAAGGTTATATTATGTTGGCCAACAATTTGGCAAAAGACAGTAAGACTGAGGTAATACAGGGTGCTGCACATGGCTACTAAGATAACCAACACTTTTTGATAACATGATTTTTGTTTAAGAATTTGTGCTTGCCACACACAGGCTAAAACGGTGACAGTTCCAATCCATAATCTACTTACTCTGTGATATTACATCTGAAACTAATGCAGAGCAATCCAACTTAAGTGTGGTACTTTAATACCACTAGATGCTACATTATTTGATTGAAAACCCTGGTTTATTTATCATTTAACTAAAATTCAGGAATGATTGCTTGGACAAATCACATCTATTGAAACTACCTTGTCTGTTTCTTGGACTCACATACTGAAAAACCACAGGAATGTTACAGGAAAAATACCTACAAACTAATTTAAAAAATTATACACCTTCGTTATTCTTTTAAATTACCAACTGTCAGCAAAACTAACTCGGCACAATTTCAAAACAATGAAAAGGTAAATGAGGTTGTTTATGAAGGCCATGGCTTTGGTGACGACTTAGAACCACACTTGAGATCTGCAGGTGACCCAGACCTAAGCAGTTTGCTCACGCCCGACGTTCCCGTCTATTTGCATGGCTTTATGGCTACGGCATATTCTTCACTCATGGCACACATGACAGACACCTACCGGGGGAAAATGCAGGCACAAGTTATTCAGAAGGCAATACACCCATAAGATACATTTAATTCATGCTATACTGTATATTCGTGGATATTTTATACATATTAACTATAGAAAGAAGTATTCCAAGACCAAATAATTTACTTCCTTAATAGTTTCCTAAAGCAAAATGTATCACATTGTGGTTTTTAAGACAACTTCCAGGGAAGGGAAGAATAAGAGCTGTGCATGTTTCAGTGCTTATTAAGATGCTATGTATTTCCACAGCATTCTTTCTCACAGTTAAAAAACTGCTCAGCTGCTTATCTTCAGGACAAATTTGAGGCTGACAGTATCCATGTAATAAAAAACTTAACTTTGATACATTGATAATGGGTCAACATTTCAGTAGTATTTAAAAGTTACCTTTCATGTAAATATTTCACACAAACCAGTTGAGACCAAATTTTTATAAAATGATTTTTAAAAAGTCTCCTCATAGGTATTTACCTGTACGTCTTCTCCTGCATTGTATTTTCCTTCTATTTCTTTGCCTAGTTCACCTTCTGGCAGCTTAAGATCCTCACGGACTTCACCAGTTTCTGTCAGCAGGGAAAGGTAACCATCCTGAATGCATATCAGCTATTTAAAGGAATTATATCATTTGTACTGATTAGATTATATTCACTCCTTTGTAATATTTACACAGTTAAGTTGCAATCCACATTAATTAGTTTAAGTATGCAGTAGTACATTTATATATATTTTGGTGCTTTAAAAATGGTAGACATACAAAACTATACAATATGTATAGACTGACAAGTTCATTTCTCCCTGCTCTCCCTCTGCCCCCAAGTCTCTACATTATTAAACCGTTTAGGGTTTTATGTCATGTATCCTGAGCACTTACATTTATGCACACAATATAAATATAAATTTTGTAAAAAAAACCATAAGTATTTTTCAGCAAGTTGTTTTCACATAACATGTCCTAGAACTCTTTCCAAACTGGAAAATATGGACCTATCTCAGTCTCCTTAGTCATCTCACAACTGCATACATATACTGTAACTGATTTAACCATTTTCCTATTAATGGGCATAAAAGTTATTTTTAGTTTTTCATGATTACAAACAATGTGGCTTTTTTAGTTTAATTCTGAACAAAGTGAAGTAGAAAAATTTTAGTCTACAACTCACTGCTACAACCACCAGATTTTTTTTTTAAAAAGTCAAACGTGAGGGAGTTGATGACAAAATGGAACATACCCAGTCATCAACCTAACTTGCAAGAAGACAAAGTTTTAATATGACTGAATTTCTTATCACAGGCATGAGGGAACAGCGAGGCTGTGCTCATTATTCTAAAAGCATGTACACTGTCAGCGTCCTAGAACTCTAACAGGTTTTATAGAAGGCAATCACCGTGCACACCAGATGTTAGCACTGACGTACACAAAAGGAGTGAGTCAAAGATGCGGCCCTGCACCCTGTCGCTGCTGTAACAGAACCTGGGCACACTGAAGGGGTAGAGCTTCAAGCTTCGCCTTTTTGGCACTACCAAATCTGGCTGTGGCTTTCCACGCTAACTCCAACTGCCACAGGAGATTTCAATTTTGCACATGTCTAAAATTTCAAACACAAACCAACATAAAACACCTTACAAAGCAACCACAAACACTCTCTCTTAATCTTTATGTCCTCAACACATTTGTGAGGTGGTTGATAGAGAAGTGTGGAGTAATAAGGTTAAGTTAGAAATATAATTTTTAAACAATTAACTACAGGCTTACATTACAAGGCAGATCTTTTTGATTTCAGCTCTTTCAGTAACTCCCTGAAGTGGAACTTGACTATTTCAAGAGTTAAAGGTTCTCACTGCCACTAGTGGCTGAAACATAGAAGCCTAATAATAATAATATTGGTATTTTGATATTTATTTATATAATGGTGGTACTTTATTTTTAAGTCAAGAATTCATAAAATAAACTGGGATAAAATAAAAAGCATTTCAAGTATAAAAATATATAAACATTGTAAAATGTCTTATAAATTGTATATATAATTAAATATCTTATTAAAATAAATGAAATGCAATTAAAATTTTTAAAAATAAAACTAAGCTATAGAAAAATAAAGTTAAATAATGAAAAAGTATTTGATTTTCTTAAAGAAATTATTAAAAAATTTTAGATATACAGAAAAGTTACAAAAATAATGCAAGAAAACCACATGTCTTTTACCTAGATTCATCCATTGTTCATTTTTCTCTCTTATGGAATATATATATGGAATATATAAAACAAATACCATACATTCTCTAGTGACTCTCTAGCAATAAATACTTCACTGTATTTTTCCTAAGAACAAGGACATACTTTTATATAACCAGCTTAGTTTTCAAAATCAGGAAATTCAACATTGCTAAAATATTATCCAATATCGAGTCCATATTCAAATTTTCCAGTTGCCCCAATACTGTTTTTGGTAGCAACCTCGTCCTCCCAACTCCAGGTCCTACCTGGTATTTATTTGGCTGTCATATTGGTTGTCTCTTTTATATTGAACAGTTCCTCACCCTTGTCTTTTCTGACACTTGACATTTTTGAAGAGCACAGGTTTACCGTATTACAGAATGTTCCTCATTTTGGGTTTGACTAATTGTTTCCTCATGATTCAGGTAATAAATTTTTGGTAGTAATACTACATAAGTGATGTACAGAGTATCATATTCAAAAGACAAATGATGTCAATTTGTCCTATTATTAACAAAATTAACTTTGATCACTTGGCTAAAGGAGTATCTGACAGATTTTTCCACTCTAAAGGTACAATTTCCCTTTTTTAATTTGTAATCTAAAAAAGTTATTGCTGGCATTATTGAGTTTTAAGCATTTTTGTGCATTTTTTTTTCTATCTTCTCTCAAAGCCTTCTCTGACTCTATAGAGTTTGAAGGAAGGATGGTGAGAAGACAGTTATAAGTCAATTCTAAATATTTCCTTCTGATCTTTCACCTTTACTGAAATCTACTCATTTGATAAATTTAAGATGTTCTGAACAATTTTGGGGGGGGGTAAAGAGAGTATGTAATCATTAGTTATTAGCAAGCAGAGACATGGGAGAGGGCAGGGTCAGAAAACTTGTAATAGAGGTGTTTGGCTGTAATAGAGTATATCAAGCTGCTGACTAAGAAATGAAATGATAGCATGTTGGGAACTGCCCTGCCTGGTATCAGAAGCTGTAACCCCCGCCAAGGCTAAGGCTGAGGGAACACCCTTGGAACCATAAGCCAGCAAGGAGACAAAAGCTTATCTCCCTGGAAGGAGTGCTGCTTCTGCTGCTCCATTCATAACTGAACCCCAAAGCTTGGTTGGTTAGCCAATGACGGGTAAGATTCCCCAAGGGGGAACGACCTAAGACAGGCACAATCACATGGGAAGACCCCAAGGAAGGACTTTGGGGGCTACAGCAAAAGGGGGTGATGGACCCTCACCCCTTGACTGTGATATAGCCTGAGTCCTCATCGTCTGGGAGAAAATCTCCTAATCTCTTGGTTGCCTTACTTCCCTTGCTCCACCTAAGCCTGAAACAATGACAGAGGGTGGTGCCACCATGTGCTGAAAAGGGCGGGTTCCCCAGGTGATCAGGCCTAAGAAAGAATATGTAAGATCCTGTGAAACCTGCTTTGTTTAGAATGCCCTCAATTGAATGATAAGGGTCCAGGGAAGAAGTAAGTTTGTTCCTCAGAGTTTTACAGCTCTTTGACCCTGACTCAAAATAGGCCCTCAGACTTCCTTGTTACCTATTGTTTGATCCTTACTTCCTAGCAATGAGTAATGAGCTTTTACCCAAATTCTTATTCAAAGGAAACCAATAAAAAGCCTCTCCAGAGGGGGACCTGGGCGCTCTCCCCACCAGGGAGGGTGGCCAAGCGGCACGCTCCCCACGTGAGGAGTGGCCCTGCTGTTCCTATTTCCCCACAGGACCTGGTTGTCTCTGCGTATGTGACGAACATCCACAGCCAAGATGGATACTGCTGGCCGGTATCCTCCACAATAGCATATCCCCAAAATATTGGTACCAAAATATTAGTATTATTACTTCCTACTAAAAGAAGCCAATGTATGGTGCTATTTTTTCCACAGGTACTATTTTTCTCCACACAGTTTCTGAAAAATGAATAATTTTAAGTCCAGAGGAGGAAGTATACAAGATGAACCTCGACCCAGCTGCTGTTACACTACAAAGCATGGTGCTATTAAAGACCACTAGGCCCATATATTAAAGGGCCTCATCCTGGCCAAAGACAGGCTAATTTGAGTACTGATAGAGATAACAAGTACAATGAATTGAAATATAAATATGTTTAAAGTTTATAGTGAAAAAAAATTTGAAGAGTCATTGTCAGTAAATCCCAGGGAACCAACTCCTTTTGAAAACTGGTAATTAAAGAAAAAGAAGCATTTATACTCCCTTTCCTATTGTATACTGTACCATAGGGTAAACAAAAAATTTGATGAAGGGAAGTTTTTCTTTGTAGAAATGTTATGGTTAAAAAAAAATGAAGAAATGATCATTTTTTCTCCTCTAATAAATTAATGGGTTGAGACAATTATCATCTATCTAATAACATCACAACAAGAGAAACAGTCAGACTTATTTACCTGATGGTTGCATACAACGTCACCTAAGGAGTAGTTTGTATTAAGGAAAGAAGAGGTAGAAAGCAAAAATCTAAGCTGAATCTGATTAAGCCTCTACATCTAATTATCAATTTTCAGGAAATACATAGAGCACAGGAATATGCTAAACAAGGAAATACAATTAGCAAGATAGAGTGTGGGAAAATCTACAGAACAAATTATATAGTTTCTTTATCAAAAAATGAAGGAGAAAAAGGGAAGGAAGAGAAGAAAGAGAAGTCCAGTGCATGAGAGAGGAGAACCTATACATTAAAATAGATTTCAGAGACACACCAACCAATTTCAGTGCATGGAGCTTATTTAGATTAGGATTTAGACAAACTGTAATGCAAAAACAATAACCATCACATCCATAAAAGGAAAAAAATACAATTAGGAAATGTAGACACTGACTGGATATTTGAAGATATTAAGGAATTATTAAATTTTAAGTGCCACAGTGTTGTTATTTTAGTTCTTATACCTTAGAAATGTATAACAAAATATTTTCAGATGAAATCATAAATGATATAATATATTAGTTTTAAAAACAATCAAGAGGTAGAGGGTACAGGAAGAAATGACAGGTGGTGGGGTACAACGAAACAGACTGGCTACATGTTGATAATTTTTGAAGCTGGATGATGGGTAGATGGAGGTCATTTTCAAAATTTCTACAATAAAAGGTTAAAAAGAAAAATACTATGATATACCAGAATTTTAGAAAGAACACTTTAACCACTAAATGGACGGAGGCACAAGGAGCTAAAGAAGCAAAGCGTGAACCGCATGGATCAAAAGGAAGAATATGGGGAGAATTAACAACTAGATTCTTTCCATGATATGGTCAGAATAAGAACACTGAAAGGAGGAATCACAGAGAAACTTTTTTTTGCCTGTATTTGTATTATTGGTATACAGCAGAAGGCTAGAGAAGGCATGTCATCACTACAGGTGCCT